ACAAATTCTTATAGAACCATCCTTCTTTAACACTGGCACAATGGGTGTCGCCCAATCGGAATAGTCTACCTTCTTTATAATGCCATTAGATTCCAATCTACTTAGCTCATTTTCAATTTTATTCCTCATTGCATAAGGTGGAACTCTAGCTTTGCAGTATCTTGGATTTGTATCTTTAATGCTTAACTTCACTGTTCTATCATTTAGTAATCCAGAGTTACCAAAAACACATTTATTTTCAGATATTACTTTATCTAGTGAAGTAAGACTAGATTCTTTTACATTCTTCAATGAACAAATACTCTCCCAATTTAACTTAAGATCACTTAACCAGTTCCTACCTAGTAATGGCGGTCCATTTCCTTCAACCACAAGAAGAGGAAGTTTAACACTTTGACCATTATAACTTACATGAACCATACACTCTCCTATTACCGGAACATTGTCACCAGTGTATGTTGTTAGACACTTGTGACACGGCTGTAGAGACACTGATCCTTCTGTGACAGCGTCAAAATCTTTCTTTGTTATGACTGTTAGAGATGCTCCAGTGTCAAGTTGGAAGCTGATGCTCTTACCGTTGATATAAACTTGTACATTGATGGGAGCATGACTTATTGATTTCACAGAGAACAGGCTGAAATCCGGCTGCAAATCAATTTGAGCATTTTCACAGGTAGAGTGGTTCATTGGTTGGGTTAGGTAGTCTTGGTGAGAGTTAACATAGTGCTGCCTTTGGTTGCGGTACTGTCTTGACTGGCTAGATTTAGCAACAGACGAAGACTTTGTAAAGCAGGCCTTGGCAATGTGACCTTGCTCACTGCACTTATAACAAGTTGCAGACTTGAACTTGCACCGATGAGATGCATGGGGACCTTTGCATCGATGACATTTTTGATAATTATTACTAGATTTAGATCTAGGACTTGAACGAGCAGGGTGTTTAGCATAAGTTGGAATGCTCTGATGGGGTGGATGTTTATTGACTAACCTGCTGTTTACTGCATGGATCTCTGAAGGTGCTAAAGATCTCGCCGCATCTGATGACTGCTGGAATGAAGTTGCAAGTTGTATTGCTTTTTCCAATTTTAGATCTGACTCGAGCAGCAACTTTCTTTGAATATCAGGGCTGTTTACACCTGTCACAAACTTTTCACATAATCTGTCAGACAGCGTATCGCCGAATTCACAGAATCTACTTAAATGACGTAAAGCAGCAACATATTCTGATATTGACTCGTTTGGTTGACGAGTCCTACTGTCAAATCTAGCTCGACATAGAAACTTTGATGGGGTAGGCGCATGGTGGTCTGTTAGCAATTTGCTCAGCTCGTTAAAGCTCTTGGTAGTTAGACTAGCTGGTGTGCATAAGTCTTTTAGTAGCCTAAATTGTTGAGGCCCTATGACTGTTAACAAAATAGCTCTCTTTTTGGCTTCTATCGTCACGTTGTTTGCTTCTAGGTAAAAGCTTAACCTCTCTAGGTAATCTTGAATGATTTCATCATTCGCATCAAATTCTTTTATTTGGCCATACAGCGCCATAATTCTAGAAATAATTAGCTAATAAGCTCTAGCAAACCTCTTTTTTGCGTAAGTAGGTGCTCTTTCTAGTAGATGTTTATCCTTCGTCGCCAGTTATAATAGATTGACGACAGAAGCCTGTGGTTGTATATAACACGTTTAATTGGGTCTAACTACCTCATGATGGTAACACCAGAGAGGACGGGAGGAAGTACACAAGGGACATCACTCAAGATAACAATATTATAAATATAACTAATACAGAGAGTGAGTTCCCTTGACCTCACAATTAACTCAATCTATTACATATATATATATATATATATATATATATATATATATATATATATATATATATATATATATATATATATATATATATATATATATAATAGGTTTTTTGAGAGAGAACATAATCGACCCGAGCGTCAAAATGGATCACTGTTTATTGCTAAATGTTCAGGTACAAGTAATTAAAACATCAAACATTCCTGACTTAATAAATGTTGCCGTAATGATATGTATGTTCTTAGGCCCAGAGATAAACTTCATGTTCGAAGTTTTTTTATTTCTTCTTAAATTTTAAACATTTAAAAATTCAATATATTATTACACACTATATACAATACGCTAATATTATTTTATTTTGTGTTTGGGTCCTTTAGATCTAGTCGGCTTGATAATGAAACTAAAACTTTCTATCGGGAAATCCCTATATTGTATATGTATGTACGGGTCATAGCGTTGTCCTGACGACGAACCTACACTCACTTAAATTTGGTGTTAAAGTGTTTAAAAGGTACTTTAGTTAGAAAATATTTTTGTAAGTATTTTTGTTAGGACTTATAACTATTTATTTCATCAAAATTTATAACAATTGATGTCGATGTAGGTAACTAACCCAACAACACTAAATATTTAGGTCACAAGCACATTACACACTGATGTGTAACTTAGTATTTTATATCTTTCATCTCATTGTGAAAACGATATAAACTTTTATGAAGGCGTAAATTTATAAATAGTTTCAAGAATCACGTATCAATTTGGAATTAACACTATGTATCTAGATCAGATAATTAGTAGGGCACGCAGAAAAGAATATGTAAACGCAAGCAAATAGGCATTAAAGAGTAAATAAAGAAAGTTCATAGGAATTATAGGCCAGACAAACCATATGGAGCTGACCGACACAGCCAAACAGGACACCTACTTTCAGTGTTTCTTTCAGACTATATTTCAGAGAGGGGGGGGGGGGAGAGTGCATGTGACGAAAATTTCCGGCGGGCGGACAGTGGTTTAATTTTAATTCTTTTTTTCTATATACATTTTACATCCCTCCCCCCACCCCGCCACTCCTCCCGACGAAATGCCTTATAGAAAAAGTCTACTGTATAGAAACTATATACATTTACCAATGTCAGCTCCTCCTCCACCTCCCCCCCCCCCCCGAAAAATTTAATCCACCCCCAACCCACCGACGAACATAGTAAGTTACCCCCCCCCCCCACCACGGTGAAAAAAGTCTAGAAGAAACACTTGTATCAAAACGTTACAATCTATCCAGATTTCCTGAACGTTATCGCACTATATCATCAGGTCAATGGACTAACAAGATGTATTTTGTCTTTATTCATGCAGATTGTTTCCTATTCACGATGACTTTTGATAAAGTAGAGGATTTTTAACCGTGATAAGCCTATTATAAAATAAACCGGGAGTGATCTCCCCCAAACTTTCTCAAATAATCTTATATAAAACAACAGGGGATGGGAACTCGGGGTATAGTTATGATTTTTAATCCATTTTAAATACTTAAACTATTTAAAATAAAATAGAATCTCATAGAAAAAAGAATTGAGCAAAAAGCGAACGCCGAATAAAGATGTGTATAATAGCGCGGAATATTATTAGTACTTAATAAATTCTCATGCGTTTTTTGACAGAAGGTAGAAAATTGGATCATTTACTTACATGTGAAATTTCATTTATCTATCTGAAATAATACTCAAGTTAAAGGCTTTTGAAAAATTCAAAGTAAAATAGTACCACTTCCGGTAATCGGAAATCGTTCAAAAGTTGTTAGGGATCTACGATTTTTATAAAATACTTATATATGAATTTTTATCAAACCTAGCTGTAACGGTACTCAAGTTATCGTGTTTAACACACAGACACACACACACAGACACACAGACACAGAAATGCGGACAAGAAAGCAAAATTATGTTTTTCCGTATCAGTGAGGTGTAAAACGTCGAGATTTACAAATCTCGATTTTTTTTTGCACGATTACAAGACTTTCTCAATACTTCGTATATACGAGAAAGTAAAAAAGAATATATTCTAGTCTAACAAATAAATCAAAATTGATTCGTGTATATTCGGTGCATAAATATCATAAATGTCCTGTTCAGGGAGAAATACAACGGGCGCTGGGTTGACAGTGTTGTCTTTTTCTCTAAACTGAAAGCAAAACCAAAATCACCAACTCAACTTCAAATTTAACCGGAACGAATAATGTTATTGCAAACGGATTTTTATCCAGAATCGGCATTTTAACCGGATCTAACCTTGATCTACACGTAGTTACTGCACATTGTTACTAAATATAGGCGTACTCATACCCCTTAACCTTGCACCTATGCTCAAAAGTTGACAAAAGTCGCATTAAAGTTTCTTTCATGCAACTCTTCGTAGAAATAGAATTTAAGATTAGAGAAATAAATACGGCGGTAATGTTAGTGGTTTTTTATTCAAGAACGATGACGTAATTATTTTTGTGGTTTTTTTCGGAAATGGCTTTTAAATGCTATGTTTACTCAAGACTCAATGACGTCATTTTTGTGTGTACTTTTCTGGCTTTAGAACTGTACTTATTTCGTTTTATTTTGAAAACTTCCTATGTGTTCCTTGTGACGTCACTGTCTTTCACTATGCATCTTTCATATTTCCTAGAGAGTTCGTGACAGACAGAATGACAGACAGACCTATAATAGGTATATACACGATAAGATAACACCAGATAATCTAAATATCTTACTTAAGTACCAAGAATAAACTTCCTATTACCTCTCTCACATATATCATCTGGCGTTTTAATATCTGTATATATGTAAACATTTCAAAATAAATCCTTAGTAAAATATTGTATTTAAAGTTTCTTTATAAAATTAACCAATCTCTACAGAGTATTGAACATCCACTAAGACAATAGAAAGATTAAACAGCAAGATCTGTATTTACTAAGATGCGATCTAGAATTCAGGTCAAACATGTTACAGAACACATGAAATATTTGGAGGAACAGATACGAGTTATCGAACCTGCTATTCAAGCTATGAAAAATGTAAAAACAAAATTCCTACTAAACACATATTAATATAAGAAAGATATTGTGTATTAATCCTTTTTAGACCTAGGACTGATATTACACACAATTATAATAATAGAGTGACACATGTGCTATAATTAGTATCAAAATTAATGTTTCGCCAGGCAGTAGAAAAAAGTAAGACTTGGATAGAAGATAAAAATGACAACCCGTCTATCACCTACATCGAGCTATACCAGGAACTTGAATCAGCGACTACTTCATTGTTGGATGTAGCCTCACAAATTCTAAGTAAATATTATAACAATCTTATGACATACAAGGTGTGCTTATATTTATGTTCTTGATGACCAATGACCAAATACGAGAAACCCGGCGTCCATTACTTGTGACCGATCTTGGTAAGCTGGCAAAAAAATTTAATTTATGATAAATTAAAAAAAAAATTCTTAAAATAATAAATAACAATAGCATTATTGTACCGTTTTTTCCTAATAAATATATTAAATTATTATTATAGCTTTAGAAATCGTGAAATAACAAAACATTATTTTAATAATATTTTAACACAATATATATATATATATATATATATATATATATATATATATATATATATATATATATATATATATATATATATATATATATATATATATATATATATTAATGCAATTGTTAAACAAGATGAAAATCAAGAACACTTAGAATTAGAAGAAGGAACTCCTTGTTTATCCCAGTCTAAACCACACACTACAGCAACAGAACAACGCGACCAAAGAATTTTAAAACAAAAAGTTCAAGAAGAATCTGGTATTAATATGTTTTAACTATCTTTATTAAAAGTCGTGTAAGATGTGTAATTCAGTTAATTTTTCTTAAAGAAATAATATTTTTAATTATTACATAAACATATATACTTCAGCGATTAACTTAACTTTACAATGCCTTAGAAGTATTGAGTCGACTTGAGCAGATAGAGACAACCATTTCTTCTCTACAAGACGTCAGTCGACTTGAGCAGATAGAGACAGACATGTCTTCTCTACAAGACGTCAGTCGACTTGAGCAGATAGAGACAGCCATATCTTCTCTACAAGACGCCAATGACAAGTTTACAGATGACATATCAGAAATAAAACAATGGAGAGACAACTTTGTAACAGAACAGAGTGATATGGGGGTAAACATTGAACAACTGACTAAAAAACAAAAGCAGAATTTTAAAAACCTCAGAAAACAAATGAATGAACAAGATAACAAAATAAAGGAGCTGAACAAAGAAATTGAAATTTTAAAAGAAAAAGAATCCAAGTCAAACAACACACTAGAGAAAATCTCTGTAGAAATGAAAGAACATAAAATCAAATTGGACAAAATAAGTAAAGAGTTGCAAGATCACACAAATAAAACAGACTGTATAGCATTAGAAATCAACCCTTTATCTACTGACGGTACTTATAAGTACCACTTTAATTAAGCGCCTGTACTATTTTTAATTTAAGACGAATTTTAAAAATTATTGATGTAATTGATAGTATGATCTCCCTTGAGTCACAGGTAGGTAGAGGGAACGATGTTTTTTGAAAATTTATGGTGTGGCGCCATTTTTAATCTCTACCTGTATCAGTAGTTCACAATTGTTCTGTACATATCTCACATGTGTTCCTGATTTCCCTTTGTTTTACCTTATTCTTCACGTTTTCAACACCGAATATTTTTTATTGGCATCTTCAATAGTCAGGCAAAAGCATTTAACTTCTAGTTATACAATTTTTATCAAATTGTCTTTGTAATAGATCGATGTTTACAAGTGGACTTATAAGTACCGTCAGGGCACACGGACATTTTTTTTAGGATTTCTTGGAAATTGCTGATTTTCGATGTGGAGTGACAAAAATATTATTTTGATAATTAATTATCGAAATGTACTTAAAAACATATATTTATGCATTCATAAGAAGGTTAGCATAGGGTTTTCCGCAGAAATATTGTAATTAATTGCAGATTTCTAGTAGTAAAAGAATAACAAGAATAGAAATGGCAGTTGCAGGCTCGTTTACTAGGTTTAGTATACGTTATTTGTATACCAAAATCTAGTTCTAGAAGTAAGATTTGTAAGTTATATTTGTTGCAAAAAACTGTCTTGCATACAATAGCTAGCGTATACGTAATGTACACATGTAGACTAGTAATAGTACATACATCTGCATGTAGTATAGATCGTTTTGTAATTTTGAATCAGTAAACACAAAACAGTAGGCCACTACGGCTATTCCAAACAAATTGAGCTCACTTCTATTTATGAACTTTACACTGTAGTGTAGACTTGTCATAACATTCTAGTATTAATAGTAGTAGTGTACTGAATGAACAGGCTTTCGTTTTCAAAATATTTGTTTATGCGGCTCATTGTAATGGCTATTGGAAGCCTTCAGCAAAAGAAGGTTCAGTCCGGCAACTGTTACCACACCAGAAAGTCGACAGACAAGATTGTCTCAGGAATGAGGGAGCATGACATGTCGGCACCTTTTGCTGTGTTTGAGGTCTAAGATGTGTTCCGATAGAAAATCCAGTACAAATCGTACTCAAAATATACTTTGGTGCTGGGTTTATGTGTGAAAATTACAAAAAATGATTGTTATAAAGATAGCCATGTTATTATTAAGTAAGTTGTATCGTTTTTTCCTGTTTTGTAAATTTTTTTGATTTTTGGAAAAAATGTCCTACATTCCTGACGGTACTTATAAGTACCAATACATGTTTGGGCCCTTAAAAATTTATGAAACAAAATTTCCTTCGACATATGCTTTAAATGTGCCAAAAGCAATATGATAACACATTGTTTAAGAAAAAATATCATTCGGAACCTAATTCCGTAAATAAAGGGTTAAAAAACATTCTGATCAGATAGTTTCTTTACAAGAAGATCATAAAATCATTGTCGATACAACAATGAAAGTTGAGAAAGTGCAATCAAAGGTAAACTTTTTTCTTACTCCAATTATAAGAACAACATTTTAAAATATTATTAAAAGTCAGTTGATTCGTTTTTCACCAGTAATACTTACGATTTTGAAACTAATGGCAAGGCACACTTTTAAGTATCTGCAATAGAAATAGTCTAATTTTAATAATTCAATCAGCACAATGTGATGTACAAACTTCTGCAACAAAGATTGATGTCTATTGACAAACTGATTCAAATCTTTAACCAGAACTTGAAAACAAGGGAACAAAGATTACACAAGGTATGTTATAAATGTTTTAAAAAGGTAATAATTTAATCATGCTCGAAAAAGCTGAAAAAATAGTTTTCTTATAACATATAAAAACACACTAATATTTAAATAAATATAAATAAAAGCGTAGGTCACTGCATCATCTATTCAGTATCTGTTACGAATATTTAGGAAATTTATTTCATTTTTTTCATTTAAACTTTTTTTTTGTTTAGCTTGAAAATATTGAAATTACCATTTCAAAGATGTTCAAAGATCGGTAAGTGTGTTTTGAAAACAAATAATTAAAGAAACTTTATTAAGACTTATAATGGTTAATTTTTTCTCGTGAAAAAGTAACACATACAACGTTTAGTTATGGATGGTAACTTATTGGTACTCACTTAACTACTTTTGCACAACTCTGTTCAATATCTGTCAAACCTACCCCCCCCCCCCCCCCCCCCGCTAGGCTCTCTCATTTTCTTACACGAAAGTATTTATTAATTAAAGTTCGTTAACCAGACAGACCATAACGTGATGTTCGTTAGCCAGACAGACCATCACGTGATGTTCGTTAGCCAGACAGACCATAGCGTGATGTTGGTTAGCCAGACAGACCATAACGTGATGTTCGTTAGCCAGACAGACCATAACGTGATGTTCGTTAGCCAGACAGACCATAACGTGATGTTCGTTAGCCAGACAGACCATAACGTGATGTTCGTTAGCCAGACAGACCATAACGTGATGTTCGTTAGCCAGACAGACCATAACGTGATATTCGTTAGCCAGACAGACCATAACATGATGTTCGTTAGCCAGACAGACCATTACGTGATGTTCGTTAGCCAGACAGACCATAACGTAATGTTCGTTAGCCAGACAGACCATAACGTGATATTCGTTAGCCAGACAGACCATAACATGATGTTCGTTAGCCAGACAGACCATTACGTGATGTTCGTTAGCCAGACAGACGATAACGTGATGTTCGTTAGCCAGACAGACGATAACGTGATATTTGTCGCATTCAGGAAAGTGTCCATTCGGGCAATCGGCCTTGGGACAAACCGCATTCGCGCAAGTGTATTTCATGAATTTGTCGTACACCCGGTTTTAACATAACGTATATACATGTGTTGTACGTTTTGTGACGTTTTAATTGACCTGCTAAACTGGTAAAGTCAATACGTGGGAAACGATAACCTAGCACCACACAAACTAAGGACCGTACTAAACTAGTTGTCTAGTGTTTCAATAAACATTATAGATTCTTATATACAGTTTATTTTTTTTTAAAATAATTGTTTGATTTGGGTTTTTCAATTTTACTTACATTATAAACTGCATACAAAACAGAAATAATGAGATGATAAAATAAACTAATGCAACGACAATTTACAAAATATTATGAATCAAATAGTCAGAACACTCGTGAAATTGAACATGTAAATCATACATATGTTTTCTAATCAACAGAGTCACAGATATGCTTGTTATATGGAGCTTGTTGATTTAACACCTGTTAGTGGTGGATTAATTATTTCAACATTTAATCAAGTACTTGAATATAACGGTCAACATTTTAATCAAACAACAGGGAAATTTATTTCACCACAGGATGGTTTATATCTTGTCTGTGTGACACTAAATGAGAGTGAAGATAAACAGATTATAGTTAATGTGATGGTTGAAAACGTGTGTTGTATGTCTATAGAAGTGAAATGTGCCGACACTAGCGCTGCTGGGTCAGTGGTTGTTGACATGAAGAAAGGTCAAGAACTTTACTTTGAAGTGGCTCACACAGATCATGACGCAGAGTTATCCGGCTACAGTAGTTTTACTATCGTTAGTTTATAGAAGTACAACATAAAACATGTTGGATGGTAAATTCTCAAAAATAAAATATGTAACCAACATGTTAAATACACACAATCAACGTACTATGTGTGTAGACTACATGTATACACACACTTAAATGGTTTATATGTTATTTGTTTAGTTAACATTATACACTTCCAAATAATTTAATGTGATCACCAATTAATGTTCTACTTGATTTAAATAAACATATAACTGTATTTTTATGTACATTTTTACTTCTCTGTATTAGAGCTTTATGTGTAATGTATACTTTATGTACGTTTAATGTGATAAAAATAAAAATACAATGTTTGTATGTGTTAAATCTGAAACTGATATATAAGAAGTTGTTTTTCGAGATTAAACACGGCTACACTCGAGTATGTTTTTATATATTACATCTTTTTTAATTTCTAGTATACGAAGTATAGAGTAAATATTGAAATCGTGCAAAAAAAAAACAAATCGAGATTTTTCCAAATCACGACGTTTTACTTCACACTGAGTCGGAAAAACATACTTTTGCAATCTTGTCCGTATGTCTCTGTGTGTGTGCGTATGTGTGTGTGTGTGTGTGTCTTTAAACACGATAACTTAAGCACCGTTACAGCTAGGTTGATGAAATTTCATATATAAGTATTATATTAAATTTGTAGATCCGTATCAAACTTTTCAGTAAACGAAATAGATAAACGAAATCTCACATGTAAGTAAAAGATAAAGTTCACTGCCTTCTGTCAAATTTTAAGTAATTTCTGTTGAGTAAAAGTAGTAATTTAAGCTATTTCCGATTTCTTAAAAATCGATCACCCAGTCGATCCACAGTTTGGGAACCAGTGTTATAAGGATTAAGTGAAAACAACTTTTATTTTTATAACCGATAACATAAAATGTATTTAAAAGTGTTTAACATGAATTTAATCAACACAACTTTGACATAATACTTACACTTTTATTTTATATTTGATGACACACGAAAAAGTAACATGTGTACAAAACAAACTCAATGAGTAACACAATGAAACATTTTGGGACGGGGTGGCCAAAGAGGTAGAGCGCTAGGCTGCTAACCCGCAAGTCTCGAGTTCGAATTCTGTTTCCTGATCCTACCCAGCTCTGAAGTTAATGCGGCTAGGCAAAGTGCTGACTAAACACATCATATATATGTCGAAGTAAAAAACTGTCCTTTATTTGCTTTACTTCTTTTTAAACATTTAAAACATATTGTGATGGTTTACAGACACATTGGAAAAACTACAGGATTTACCAAAGCTAAACATCCTTACAGACATCTCTTACATAAGTTAATATTACGCTTTCGCTATGATCAGGCTTACACGCCCCAATCCGTCTGAATAAGTGAGGTACGTGTCATCTACATTCGTTAATTTATCATTTCCATGCAAATTTTCATCCGGGTAAGCATTTGGAACAAATAAACTGACACTTTTAATTACATATGAATAA